GGAGAATGGAGAAGGGATTGCGGCGTGGCCATCCCCTCTAAGGGGTGATTTCTCACTTTCTATCTCTGTCTTTCTGGTGAGCGCACACACCCTATAGCAAAAATCACTTGAAGAAGAAAAAAAAAAAAACAAAACCTCTCTCCATCCTTCTCTGTATGCTCTCTCTATTCTATGTCCCCCTTCTGTACTATGACTAAACACATCAGAAGTTTCTGCTGCAGTCTCTGGGTCTCCAACTCTCTATGTACTTTCATCTTTTTATTTCTGTATTGTTCCAAATAATTTCTTTAGATTCATCAATTCACCAATTCTCTCTCTAGCTTTGTCTAATTATTAACTGTCAAATTGTTTATTATAAGCAAATATTGAGTTTTTCATTTTGGTTACTTTTTTTAATTTGATTCAATTAAAGTTCAAAAATCACTCGTTTCTTTTTTCTTTTTTTTTTTTCTTAAGGTTTTTGCTATAGGGTGCATGAGCCTGCCAGGGAGAGAAAGAGATAGACAGGGAAAATGAGAAATCAACCCCAGGAGGGATGACCGTGTTGCATTCCCTTCTTCTCCATTCTCCTCTAAAGATTTTGGGCACACATGCACACATACACACGCCTGGAGTTATTTTCAAGCCACTGAGTCTAGGACTTGAATCATGGTCAGCCATGTGGGGGATCCAACACCCTAACCACCACACCACCACCTGCTGGCCCTCTAAATCACTTTTTATACTTTCTGTTCTCTGAAGAGATTCTCAAGCTTTTTTTTTTCTTTAAACACAGTACAGTACTGACAGTTCCTGTATCTGAAGTATGTGCAGGTTTATACTGTCTCTACTGGTTCCCGGATTAATCATGGTATCTTTTGTAGCTAGTTGTCTTTGTACGGGATATTGTACTTGACAAATTATTTCTAAGAATAGTTTGATGCTCAGATCGAAGGTATCTTCCTCATGAAAAAAATCTGCATTCACTTTTCCCTCAGCCCGAAGGTACACCAGCTAGGACTACCTGTTCTGAGGTGAAGGCTATGAGTTTCTAGACTGTCCAGGACTAGAAAACTTGGGCTGTAATGTTTTGCTAGTTCAAGTTCTCATGACGTTTGGCACTGTGGACTCCCAGCTTTACCTCCATGAGGTCCCCACTTTCCACTGGTTGAGTCATTACTGCCCCCCCACATCTGTATGACCCAACTAACACTTCTGGGCCAATAGCAGTCCCTTGCCTTTTCACATCTCTGACCCCCCCACACTCCAAATTTAGAATGGTGATTCTTTTCTGCCTCATAAGCTCTTTAATGTTTTTAATAAGATGTTTTAAAGTAGCTTATCTCGGGACCAGCACGTGGTGTGGTAGTTGAGGACCTGGACTCCCACATGGCTGACTGGAGTTCAAGTCTCAGACCTGGTGGCTTGCTTTCTCACTCCCCTATCTGGGGCTCTCTCTAGTAAATACACATGCCCTATAACAAATTAAATAATAAGCAAAATTAGATAAATAATTCTTTTATTTATTTACTTTTTAAAGATATCTTACCTTACTTTTTGGGTTGTTTTCAGTGAAATTAGCCCAAATGCCCCAGTCTACCCGTCGCAATAAGAAATCTTACTTACTATTTTGACATAAACTTCTAAAAATAATAAACCAATCTGCTATACATCCTGTCCTCCTGCTGTCTGGGCTTGGGACACTCCCAGAGCCAAGGCAAACTAGTTCCCACAGGAACAAGAAACTTGCCTGCTCAGCCCAGTGGTGTGTCCCTGCTGTAATAGTCCACCTCTCTATCTCGGAACATCCTGGCCAGTCAGATTCCAGCCCCCACAGTACGTTCAGACAAACTGGTGCTTGTCCTTTCAAGCTGAAGAGCGATGGCCCAGGAGCAGCACTGACCTTTCTCTTGAGGACACTGAGCTTCTCCACCACACCATCCAAGAGGCTGACCACAGAGTCCACAGCAGGACAGCTGCTCAAGGTCTTCTCCAGCTCAGCTACCACCATGGTGACGTGACTCGTCTCCCGATCAATGTTTTTCTGAGCAGCTCGAAAGCGTTTATTCAGAGTCTCGTAGGGCACCTAAAGAAGACAAAGAGACAGTTAAGAAACTACCCAGTTGGGTGTGAACACAACCAGCCCTACACTCAGGACCCTTGGAGGCTCCTGCATGGCACTTTAAGGAGCAAAAGTCTTAAGATTTTTTTAGTTTTCTCAAAATGTATCTAATATTTAGCCAAGACTCAGAAAGCCTTGGTGAAACAAAGACTGGCCCACATTCCTGGATGAAAAGACTAATACAAAGAAGTAAACTGTCCCAAATCTACAGAAGTAGTGCAACCTAAATTTTTTTCCAAAAAATTTTTACTTGACATAATAATACCAACATTCATCTAGAACAAATTACCAAAAAGTAGAATTGTAGAGGTGGCTTTACTTGATCAGGTAGCAAAACACAGCTGGTGATGGCCAAGCCAGTGCAGCAAGAGACAACAGTGTGTATGGCCAATCAGAATAGGGTGAGGGCCTAAAGAAAGTGGCATTTCACGCTGATTAATGAAGCTGTAACACTCATGTGAAATTATGAGGCACATTTCATGAACCTTCTCAGTGAGAGATTATTTCCTTTATCTTGATTATAAAAATGACCTCTACCCTATAGTACATTTGGAAAATTAGACATATAGTTGGCCCTCTATATTTGTGGGCTCCACATCTGTGGATTCAACCAACCAAGGATAGAAAATATTTGGGAAAATAAATTTTGTTTGCACCTGCATTGAACATGAATAACTAATTTCCTTATTACTTCCTACCAATACAACATAACAACTATTTAGGTAATATTTACATTGTATTAGGTACTGTAAGTAATTTAAAGCTGATTCAATAATATAGAGGATATAAGGATACATGTACATTATATGGAAATACTATGGCATTTTATTTCTATTTATTTATTTATTTATTAATTATTTTAATTTGACCAGAGAGGGTCAGAGCGAGAGAGCAAGAGAGAGAGAGAGAAAGAGAGAAAGCAAGCTACCAGGTCTGGGACTCAAACCACAGTCGGCCATAAGGGAGTCCAGCACCCTTAATCAACACTACACCACTCGCCCGCCCCTATGCCATTTTATGTAAGGGATTTGAGTATCACAAATCTTGACACCCACGGTGGGCCCTGGGTCTAATACCCCATGGATACCAAGGGTCTATATGTAAAAGGTAGAATTTTAAAGTCAGTTATTTTTCTGTTCTTCTAAGAGAGAACTGATATTGACATTCTTCTCTACCCATTTCTAGTGTTTCATGATTTCGCATACAGCACTGCACCCTTCTTTCACTGCAGATGGGTTTCTTGTCATTACTGCTCACAAAGTAAAACTGCACTGGTGGCCCACAACTCATTCAATGGGACGTCTGTTATAAGACATCTCTGTCATTCAGCATTGTTGTTCCAACTTTGCTGTTGTAATAGTGACTGAAGGAGCACTTTATCCTCGGCCAAGATCAGTGATGGAAGACAGACTCTCGGGGGCTGCTGCCAACTACCCACCCCCCAGGGTAGGCACTGACTGACTCAGACACTGATCCTGCCCCAGCCACTCGAGGAAGGCAGGGATATGGGCAGTGGAGAACCACTTGACAGAATTTCTTTCTTTCTTTTTTAAAGATTTATTTATTTATTATTTTTTGCTATAGGGCACATGCACGAAAGAGAGAGGGGGAAAGAGAGAGAGAGAGAACGTGAGAAAGCAAGCCACCAGGTCTAGGACTCGAACTGTGGTCAGTCATGTAGGAGTCCAGTACCTTAACCACTGCACCACCTGCTGGCCCCCAGACATAATTTCTAGAGGGCATAAAAGTAAGCCTTAGTCTTTAACCATGTCATGATCTAGCACAACTATTAGACGAAACAACATAGTTACCCTCAACATTCACATACAGAGGAGCCATGTCATCATACATTTCCAAACTGTTACTGGGAAAGACCTCTCTGGACACCCACCAGCTATTGTATATTCAAGGTCTATGCCCTAACTAGCCTCTCCTGACTTTATAAAGACCCTGAGAGCCTCTTACCTCACCATCATGCATATGCATGCGGGTCAAAGATAGTGGGTCACTTCTGGAGGTTAGTACACTGCAGATACAAACTCCTGTCCTCTCCTGCCCAGAAGCCTAGACTTGCCAAACATCCCATAGTTGTGCTGGATGTGACCATAAGGGAGGCTGGGCAAGGTGTACACAGGGACCCTCTATAGGATCTTTACAACACTTCTGTGTGAGTCAAAATTATCCCAAAATGGAATAAAACCAAACCACAAAAGGCACACACAGACCTACTGTAGTAATAGCTAGACTGCCTCTGGAAAGATACACACAAGCTGTAGAGGAAGGAGATAAAGTTGAAGGTCAGCGGGACATTTTCTTAGAAACGTATACTTCCCTTCAGAGTCTTTGACGTGTTTGTTTTAAAGATCAGCTCTTCCTCTGTAGCTCCTCCTACCTAGGCCTGTAACTGGGACTATGGTAGCTTGCCACCATACCCGACTCTAGACTGGGTCTCACTATGTTGCCAGCCTCGAGCGCATGGATCCTCCCGCCTTGGTCTCCCTGTGTCACTGAGATTATAGGTGCATACTACTGTGCCTGGCCTTTAGGCTGGACTAGAAATCAAACCCAGGTTTCCATGTGGTCCCAGCCTGGGGTGTACAGTGTCTTAGTATCGTACCACTATGGCTGGGCCTCTTTTGATGTTTTTTAATCCAAAGACAGATACTAATATTTTTACTTTGAAAAAGTGAGCACTCTGTTCCAGGGCACCAAGGGTTGAGTTGCCAGTTCTGCCCTGACAGACTCAGTACAACTTTCCTGAAGGCTACTGACAGATGGCATCCATCAAACGCCACTGGGTGCCCCTGGGTGCTCGTGCTGGGCAGACAAGGCCAAGACAGAAGAGCACATAGGAGCAGGCAAAATGCTGAAGGTCCAGCTCGGCCAGCACTCTTTCCCCCTTGCCTTGATGCCAACACCTCAGGAGCCCACCCCTTCCCCTGAGAGATCCAAACTACCTATGGAGAGGACAGTCAATTGTGCTTGATACTTGACCTGCACTGCCACTTTCATAAAACATGGTAAAACCGAATTACTGAAAAAATGAACTGAAACAAACCCCAAGACACAAAATAAACAAAACCATCAGTTTTATTATCAGATTCAGGCATTAAAATTATATTTTAGGAAATAAAACAAACATGAAAATACAGTTACCAAACTGCACATACTGCTTAATCTAAGCCTGCACCAGCTGATGCAATGCAGATCCTAAAAAGTAACCAACCCCCCTTGCCTTGATGCCAACACCTCAGGAGCCCACCCCTTCCCCTGAGAGATCCAAACTACCTATGGAGAGGACAGTCAATTGTGCTTGATACTTGACCTGCACTGCCACTTTCATAAAACATGGTAAAACCGAATTACTGAAAAAATGAACTGAAACAAACCCCAAGACACAAAATAAACAAAACCATCAGTTTTATTATCAGATTCAGGCATTAAAATTATATTTTAGGAAATAAAACAAACATGAAAATACAGTTACCAAACTGCACATACTGCTTAATCTAAGCCTGCACCAGCTGATGCAATGCAGATCCTAAAAAGTAACCAACAGGCTGGGTGGGAACCTTCAGCATAAATGCCCACCACAGCCCCTGAACAAACTCAAGCACATCAATGACTATAGGTGCTCCTGTGATGAAAGAGCTGGCTCCTCCCTTGGCAACTCACCTAATTTACCTAACAACAGCACAGCGACCACAGGAGCCACAGTTGGAGCAGTGCTGGATTAAGGACAGGGACGCTCAACCTACACAGCTAATGGCAAGGCAAGCCCTGCAAGCTTGGGCTATCCATTTCTAACTTTCATCCAAAAAGGAAGCAGGTAGTGTTGTAATATCTTCAGTCCATCATCAATACCCAGTCCCAACAATTTACTTTGTAAGGTAAAATTTGACTATTTAACACAGTCAAATTGAACTATTTTTTTGATGAAAGAAACTAGTTTGAGATAGGGTATACCTCTGGGTGCAGTTCACGACACAATCTTAAAGCATCACCAAGTAGCCTGAGGCTCCACTTTGCTCCTCCATAGCCTGGCTTCCACCCACAGGGCCCATACGCACCCCACATTACAGATGCATCTCTAGGCTGCCCTGGGATGTGCACACCTGCCGATTACTGACACAGCTGTCAGCTTCTACACACCTCTAAATCTGTGCCCAAGGTTGATCCCTTTGGGCACCATTCCCGACCCTGACCTCCAAATAATTGCAGCTTTCACTACATGTGGCCAGTCCTCCCATGGAAGGACTCAATCTCCTAGCCCTTGGCTCTGAGAGTCCATGCCTAGCCACAAACTCCTCCAGGTTCTGTTGTCAGGATCCCACCTATGCTGCCCCCACCTGTCTGTATCAGTGCCATGGTGCCTACTCCTTTCACATTAAACTGTCCAAAGTGGATTGCCTGCCCTTGTCCTCCTCCTCCCATCCCTGGCCAGGTACCTGGAGATTGGGGCATTTGATTCAAGTTCAGATGTGCACAGCAGCTCCTCCCACTCTGTAGAGGCTCCCAGAGTTTACTTCACATGTGCAACTACTGAGCCAGACAGCAGTTTCCCATGCAGCCTCTTCCCTGCACTCACTCCTTCCAGGAGAAACCAGCAGGCCAGCCTAGGACATAGCCATCCTCCACTTCTTCCCATGGGACTGTGCACAGGATTCTCTCCCATTATAAAGGCTCCCTCTCTGGGCTTTAGCAAACCATCCTGGGCTAGTCAGTACCAACAGCTCCTTCATAGGCTTCTTCCCAAAGGGCATCTGGTAAATGAATGAATGGAATTTCAGAAATACTGATGACATTTTTTTTTTTGAGAGTTTTTAAATGTTATTTTTATTTTTTAGAGAGAGGGTTTTTTTGCTAGAGGGTGTGTGCGCTCACTGGAGTCAGAGAGAGAGAAAGCGAGAAATCACCCTCCAGGGAGGATGGCCTTGCCACAATCCCTTCTCCTACATTCTATC